GGGGGAGTACGATGGGGAGGTCGGGGAGTAGGAGGGAGATGTTGGGGAGTAAGAAGGAGATGTGGGTGAGTAGGAGGGAGAGGTTGGGGAGTAACTGGGCGATGTGGGCGAGTAGGAAGGAGATGTCGGGCTGTAGTTGGGGCTGGTGGGTGAGTACGAGGGGGAGGTGGGGGAGTAGGAGGGGGATGTCGGGGAGTAGCCCGGGCTCTGAGGGGTGTAGCCCCCCGGAGAACGAGGCTCGTAGGCAGGGGAGGTGGGCGAGTAGTTTGGTGACATGGCTCCACCTACAGGAGGAAGAGAGATGATTTTTAGTGGGAAACATGAACACCATCTTCCTTCTCATATTAAATGCAACTGCAATAAAACCTCCTGCATTCTAAATCAGATGTATTGATTGAAGACATTACCAGATGTGTGAATAGAATACAGAAATATTAGAACAACGTATTATTTTCGTTTTCATACTGCAACATGTCAGTGTGTTTTCTACAATCAATCAGTCTAATTCTTCAACTGATTCACCAGCCAGTGGTCGAATCTTCATCTTTTAAAATATCTCACACCCAAGATCTGCTTTTATAAAATGTTGTGTCCAACTGAATATGTTAAAAAAAAAATACTACAGACATCTGTTCAGTGGTTTAGTTTTAGTCCATGTGCTGGATTTCAATGTATAGAAAGTAACCAGTGAAAGAGAAAACCTCGTTACTTTCATTACATTTACAGTTTTTCCTCATACTCTGAGACAGAACTCTCCTCGTCAGAATCACTCGACTACACTAAACTTTGCTGTTTATTCTTACATGCCATTAATCTGAAGATTTTTACTAAGAGGTTTGTTCATATATCATTCATAGCCTGATTTATAGAACATTTTATTCCTAAAACAGGGCAAAGTTTTATGTTTTTTGGCTGTTGACAGTTGTAGTTTTTCTGCTTTATGGAGCGATAAAAAGTGACATCCAACATCTTTGACTCTAATATGTTAAGAAGAATTCTAAACCTGAGTTTATCCACTGTTCAGACTTTTGTTCTCAAAACTAATGAGTGCATATTTCAGAAGATGAGACTTCATTTACATTTAAACATCAGTTTAGAAAACTTTTGATAGAAAAAAATGATCTTGGATGCATTAAAAAAAAAAATCTATCCCATTCATCTGTAGTGTCGCCCCTTAAACAAATTAATGTAAAAGATTTCTGCAGTGTCTAACCTGGAGATGGGATGTATGGGCTGGCAGGTCCCGGAGATCCTGGAGACCCAGGAGTGGGAGACCAGGCGGGGGAGTAGCCTGGAGAGAAGCCACTTGCATCTGATGCTGCACTGGGCGAGAAGCCTGCTGCTCCGGGGGTCATTCCGCTTCCTGGAGGACAACAAAAAGACAGCAAACCTCAGTGGATGATGACCAATAAAAAAAGGAAGAGGCATCGCAACGTAGGTGTGTACTCACCAACACTGGGGGACCAGGCGCCGTAGGCCGGGGTAGCTCCTGTGTTCCATGGGGTCATAGCAGGAGACATGCCGCTCATGGGACTCGGCACCGTGCCAAAGAACATTCCAGTGGCTAAATAAAGGATGGATACAAAACATAAATATCATACTTACATCTACTGTAGGAACAATTCTATATTGCAATTGTTTCCACACTTACGTCCAGCCACGCTGATGCCAGGTATGTTGGTAGGGATCTCCATGCCGTATTTACACTTCTCAGCATCCAGCAGGAGGTCGAAGCAGCCTGTCCCTGCCGGGGCTAGCTGGCCCAGCATGATGTTCTCCGACACACCCTTCATGGGATCACTCTCACCGTGGGACGACGCCTCCATCAACACATCCACCTGGAGAGGAGGGAAAAAGAAGAATTGAGGTCTTTTGTTTTAAAGAGAAAATCTGTAACTAAAACCATGGGGACCAACAAGACTATTTTGATTTAACTGCAACTGTTAATTATTGTCGTACCGTCTCCTCAAAGGAACACTTCATGAGCGGTCCGGTGTCTTGACGGTTGATGCCGTGACGCGTGATGGCCATCAAGTGACCGCGGCAGGTCATTGTGTCACAGAGCAGAGCCAAGTGACGGTAGTTGACGTAGGAACCGTCGAAGGAGATGACGTGGTACAACTCCCTCTCCAGCGCCTTTCGCACAGCCTCAATGCCCAAAACCTATGAAACACAGAGAAGTAAGATGAAACAAATATAAAGACAAACCCACTTCAATCTATTGCTGAGACCAAATTATTTTTATGTTTTTGTACCGTGAAGATCTCCACAATGTCGTTGGAGGTGGTTCTGACGGGATCTACATCCTTCTCGCTGAGCACTCTCATGAGGCTCACTCCGTCTGTCTCCAGGATCCACTCCTGCAGGGCTTTGAACTCGCCGTCCTCTGTGATTATGATTTTCTTTTTATTGTCAGTCTGGGGCAAGTGCATGTACACCTGAAGGAGAGGAGTTTGACATTTAACTTAGAGCCACAAGCAGGCTTACTTTGTTGTTTGTATGAGTTTATATGAGATCATCCTGTGGTGTAACTGTTCTCGCTTTTACCTTGCTGATCTGCTCAATGCCCTGTAGGGTCATGTCTGTTAGCATGTTGGACTCGATGCACCTCAAAAACACGTCGTCGTCCATTTTGTCCACCACCTCCTCATCCTACACGAGACAACAGTTATTTATAACTCAAATAAAAATTGCCAACAGTCCATTTATTCTAATTGTATATTCTGCACTGTCTCACCTCCTGGAACTTGTTCTCATCGCTGTTCATGATTCTGATTCGCAGCACGAGCTTCTCGGCGTTGTCGTCATTGAAGATACAGTTCAGGTCGTCTCCAAAACCTTGCAGAGAAACACAGACACAGGTGTCATTAAGGTAACTCACCTTATTTCTGTTAAACGCTGGATAAAAACATGTTCCCACAACCCACCTGCGTTGATCTTCTCTGCAATCTGCTCCATAGTCAGCTTGCGGTCGGTCATGTGCTTGCGGTCTAGCTCAATGCGCAGAAGCCACGGTGAAATGCGCGTCACGTCAAAGTCGGGCATCTCGTAGTACACGTTCACCCACTCCTGGTCCTCGGCCACCACCGTGTTCTGCGGGTTGGGGTCGTAGTAGATGGCGGTGTTGGCTGTCACCTGAGAGAAAAGAGGCTCATTGTAAACCCCAGCTTCGAAATTAAAAATGATAACACTAATATGGCATCATCTGATATGGAACGGTAAAGTGGGGCAGGTCAAAAACAACGGTAGCTTCTTTACCACACCGTAAACATGAAAACACAATACAAGAAACTGTTGGATAACTTTCTTACTTTTCTCAGCGTGGTGTGCTCGAGTCGACAGAGGATGTCCTTCGCCCTCTCGGCATCACGTGCTGCCTGACCCAGCAGGAACACAGTCAGCGAGGGTGTCTTGGGCCTCTTCGAGATGTTGATCAACTCCTTTAAACGGGGCACACCGAGGGTTACGTTCTTGGCGGACACGCCGGCGTAGTGGAAAGTGTTCAGGGTCATCTGGGTGGCGGGCTCTCCCAGCGACTGAGCGGCGAGAGCACCAACCATTTCGCCTGGGTGGGCCTGGAAGAGGACAAAAACGTGAGAAAATCAAGTATTCTCAGAGATTCGATGTTAAGCTGTCTAACAGAGCTCGTAAAACACACATACATCAATATGTGAAACTTACAATGGACTGGTTGAACTTGGTCTCGATCTCTCCCAGCAGCCAGTCGAACGCCTCCGTGGAAAGACGGAACTCCTCAGTCATGCGTTTGGAGCAGAGCGTCGAGCGCAGGTGGATGTTGAAGAGCAGGGTGGCGTTCTGCTGGGCCTGTCTGCTCAGAGGGTCGTCGCCGTTCACGATCACAAGCTTCTTACTCAGCTCGTGAACTCCTGCAAACACACAGGCAGTTAAAAACACAATCAAGTACTTGAAAATAAATGCACAGACAGCTTGCAATGATGTACGTTATCTTGTTCTCTCTGTTACTACTTGGGTTGCTATCAGTGCTAATCTCTTCTCTCTAGCAAAGAGGAACACTGCGACTTGAACTCTTGCCCTTATTATGTAACAGGTGGGGAGTCATCAGGTGGCTTTATGGCTTTAAGTAGCACCTGAGGTCAGAGTCATGATCTCTTCGCTCAGAGGCTACATTCAGAGACCTCTCTATAGGATTTACAAACTTTACATATACTGTGAAGAAACTAAGCAAGTGACAAGTTTCTTGTATGAGTTAACAGTCAATTTTACAGAAGAAAAATAAGCAGCCAATGGTGATCATCTTCTATAATTAACGGAGGTTGTCATCCTTGAACTTACCCTCGACCACCCTTAGAGGATTCAGGTCTGTTGGGGTGCGAGTGTTGATACGGAAGATCTTCTGAGCGTTCCAGATCATTCTAGCCAGGTTGCATGGCAGCACCACCTGCAGGTGAGAAGAAAACATTAACGACGAGCAGTTTTGATTTTGCGGACCGAGATACTGTTTAAGAGCAAAGGCCTGTCTAAAGTTCTAGTGCACCTTGCTGTCTCCGGTGGGGAAAATTGCTCGCAGGATCTCCCTGTCCTCCTTCATCTTGTCAAACTCCCTCTCCAGACTGCTTTGCACGTGGGCGTTGGTCAGCACGTCTTTCACGACGTCTTCCTGCAGCGTCCGCCTCAGTGCTCGCTCGTTGGTGCAGTCGAACTTGAACCTGGACAGATTAGATGAGGATGTTTAACCACTCCCACATATCAAATGCTATTAAAAACACAATTACAAAATGATTTGGCACAAAATTAGAGGTGTGTGACTTACTTCTTTTCAAAGGCCTTGTGTGAGGGTTTCAGTGTCGCCACATTTTGGAACTCCACGTTCTCTCCTGCCAGGCCGTCCTCGCCGTAGCGCAGCTGAACCACCTGGTTGATGGAGTTTCGCACTGTGCCATCGTACTTCACCATCACAGACTCCATAGATTTGATCAGACGACGCTGGATGTAACCTGGAGTATGAGATTGGAATCCCTTTTGTTAAACCTCAACAACTTTTTCCATCTTTAAGTTAAATAAATGATACATTTTTAATTCAATTTAATACATTTTCCCCACTTAATTTCTCTAGTTTCCGTGTTTCAAAAGACTGCGTGGACTTACCAGTCTCAGCTGTCTTGACAGCCGTATCAATCAGACCCTCTCTGCCTCCCATGGCGTGGAAGAAGAACTCGGTGGGCGTCAGGCCAGCCAGGTAGGAGTTCTCCACAAAGCCTCTGCTCTCAGGACCGTAGTCATCTTTAATGAAGTGAGGCAGCGTGCGGTGTTTGAAGCCGAAGGGGATTCGCTTACCCTCCACGTTCTGCTGTCCCACCACAGCAATAACCTGAATAAGGAGGAAACATAAACCCAGTGATGTAAACTCTGCTCAAACCCAGTTCATCTGACGTGGATGACTGATTGTTGCGTTCCTACCTGTGAGATGTTAATCTTTGAGCCCTTAGACCCAGCCACCACCATGGACTTGAAGTTGTTGTACTCAGACAGAGATTTCTGCGCAGAGGATCCCGTTTTGTCACGAGCGTCGTTCAGGATACGGTTCACCTGGTTCTCGAAGGTCTGCCTCAGTGTGTTACCGGGGGTGGGCTCCAGCTCGTTGTTGTGAGCCTTCTCGATGACCTAGCAGGTAAAAAGCATTATTGGACATTGTTTCATAAATGTGGCTAAATATGAATCCATCTGTGAGTTGTAGAGATGTTGGTGACTATATAAACATTGTTCTTACTTCTATCACATCCTGTTTGGCTTTCTTGATGGTATTCTGAATGTCAAGGTATGTTTTGGCATCAGCAATGGAGTCACCAATACCAATGGAATGACCTGTTAATACAAGGTTTGTGATGGGACAAACAAAATAGAGGATTTATTGCAAAGAAACTTGTTGTCAATTCTGGAAAAAAAAAATAATAGTAGGAATAAAGTTCAGATTTCGTACCCTCGATGAGCAGCCAGTTGTTGACCACAGTCTGAATGTTGGAGTAGAAGAGTCTGGTGATGTCATGGCCCATCTCCAGGTAGGAGATGTGGACGAGAGAGCCAGCTGATGTTCCCAGGGACTTCTTACACAGGATGCCCATGATTAGTTCACCATTCTCCACGATAACCTGTGGAAAAAGTTTACTGTCAGGATACTTGCATTGTAGTCCATTTTTATTCTTTAATCTATACAATTTTTTCACCTTGGTGTCGCCAGGTGAAATGTGTTTGTAAGGGCCGCTGTCCTCATCGTCAGGGTGGGTGCTGTGCGTGCGGATCACATTGATGTGTCCTGGAATGATGAGGCTGAAGATCTGCTTGCCTGTCCACAAAGGCCGGGGTTTGAGGATCGCTGGTTGAGGCATTTTCCCGTCCCAGGTGGAGAGGAACATGAGCAGGTTCATCACTTCACCCTGTCACAAGGGAAAATGCAAAATTAATGGAAAGTCATTGAGCACTTTGAGAGCCTTTCACATCAGAAAGAGGAGCAGCTGTTGGTGAGGTCATTCTGCTTACCCTCTCTAAGAAGACGTCTCTTTTGGTGAATTTGCGAACAGCTGTGAGGGTGTCCTGCACAATACCCATGACAGGCCTATTGGACTGGGGTGTGACAATCATACGCGGCACCATGGCCAGCTCCTGGATCTCTGCCCTCGTCTCGAGGGACTGAGGCAGGTGGAGGTTCATCTCATCCCCGTCAAAGTCAGCATTGTATGGTGTGGTGACACTGAATGGAAACAAGAGAATGTTAGTGATGCTACACCACATGTAGAACTCTGGTTAGAGCCCTGAGCAAGTGACTCATAGAAGTGTGCATTAATTTATACAGTCCAAAAATGGCTAGGATGTAAAATGGGGAGTTCCACACATTAAAGCAAGATTGAGGATTTGAACATGAATTCAATCTGGACTTTAACTGTCGTTTCATTGCTTCTACAGCAAGTATTAAATTATTGTTGTGAGAAGTCAGTCTGTTTTAAAACACAATAATAAAAGTCAGCAAAGTCCAATTTTCATTTGATACCTGAGGTTGAGACGAAATGTGGACCATGGCAGAATCCGAACCCTGTGACCCATCATAGACATTTTGTGTAGTGTAGGTTGCCGGTTGAAGATGACGATGTCACCATCGCACATATGTCTTTCCACCTGCACGGAGAAAAATCTATTTAGTCAGGAGTAAAGCAGAATATATACAATTGTGCTACAAACTATAATTAGTTGCAGGTTGCACTGTGACTAATTAAATACATTTCTAACTTGCCTTGTAGCCAATTTGCAGATGAAGGTCACTTGGTTTAGGATGAAATCGAAGGTCAATTCTGTCGCCGTTGTCTCGGATGATGTATTTGGCTCCGGGGTATTGGCTGTTGCCTCTTCGCACCAGCTCCTGCAATCTGATAAATGTCAACAAAATGGATTAGCTGACAATCTGAATCTAAAGATGGTTTTAGAATACAAGGAATTTAACTACTCTGATGTACCTGTCAATATTAAAGGGTGTGACAATTTCTGGGAAGGTCATGTTGGCTGCGATGGATCGTGGTACGCCCACTTGGTCAATCTGCAGGTTGGGGTCTGGGGTGATGACAGTTCGGGCAGAGAAGTCCACACGCTTGCCCATGAGGTTACCTCGCACTCGTCCCTCCTTCCCCTTTAGACGCTGTTTTATGGATTTGAGAGGGCGGCCAGACTTTTGCATTGCCTGGGAAAGAAAACAGGTGGTTTAATCATAATTGACCCCAAAACATACTGTGTAAGAACTGCAATGCTAAGAAATCTAAAAGCATACTGACGTTGGATTGGCATTACCAGTACAGATCTAACAGTATCTTTAAGCACACACACACCCTTGGCAGGCCCGGCAATTCATTGTCCACCATGGTGGCAACATGAAACTGAAGCAGCTTCACATCCTCAGCTATGACGTGAGCGGCTGCCCCACTCTGCTCATTTCTTCTCAGCTGGTTGTTGATCTTGACAATGTCAGCCAGCTTGTGGGTCAAGTCATCCTTTAAGATACAAGTTATTTCAGAATTTGTCAGATCTGTAAAATTGCGCAAAATATGAGATACAACAACACAACGAAACATTCAGCCTGGGTTCATATGACTTTACCTGGTTGCGAGCAGACCCCTGCATGACCACAGCGGGCCTCACAGCAAGTGGGGGCACGGGCAGCACAGTCACTATCATCCATTCTGGTCTGGCAAACTTTGGGTCCATACCCAAGATGATGTCTTCTTCATCTGAGATGCGCTTGAAGATCTCATGTACACGCTCGGGACTCAGCAAGATTTTCTTCTCCTGCGAATCCTCATTAACATGCTTCCACTCGGCATACAGCTCCAAGCCAGAGCGTCTGATGCGTGGCTGGTAGCGCCCACATCCACCATGGCCCTGTGTAATGAATGCAGTGGAGAGTCAAGAACGAGTGTAAGAAAATTAACATTAATGCTGGGAGCTGAAATGCCTGTTAATCAGGACAAAAAGACTCCATCTAAATACCTTCTCCTTGCTAATATCCTCCTCGGTCTCCTGCTGTTCCATTCCAAATTTGTTGTCCATCTCCTCCCCTCCCTCACAGATGTTTTTTCCTTTGCACAGCTCATACACATGAGTCAAACGCTTCCTGGGTTGCCCTTTAGATTTTCCCAGGATGTCTTTGATCTTAGGATTGTTCTAGAAGTAACAGAATTAGAAATAACTTAAGAATCAAAACGGCAAAATCCAAGCACAAAAATTAAGTTATGCTTCTATGATAAAATAGCTTTTTTTTTTTTTTTTTTAAATCAATATGTACTGCAGTGGTCCAAGTACTTACTGAATCCACTAACAGCTTGGAGCAAAAGAAGCAGACACATCGAAGAACCTTCATTATCTTTGTTACGAAGCCAACATGGAAAACTGGCTTTGCCAGTTCTATGTGGCCAAAGTGTCCTGGGCATTCTGTCATGTTGCCTGAGGGAAAAAAAAAGCCATGTAAAAATACTATATAGACAGTCGTGCCCTGATTAACAATATGTTTTACGATGGCAAGCTAAGATGACACTGTACCTGCACAGGTCTGACATCTTCCACTTCTCTCAATGACCCCTTGTCTTGGGTCCATAAGGCCACCAAGTTTGGGACGTCCTCCTTCCGTTGTTTCGGGGTATTTGATTCCCCCTTCTGTAACGGACATCCGTTTCTGAGGAGAAAGATAACGAAAATAGAATTTGATGCGAGAATAAAGAGTAGTTGATCATTAACCATCAGAATCAGAAGATAACTTATCAATAATAAAATAGGTAACAGTCAATAATAAACAACTCATCCATGTCCTTTTACCTACATCACTGATCATAGCCTACTTTCAATAAACCATCACCAACCATTCAGTCATAATAAATTATTTAAATTATTTAAAAAAGTCAGCATGTAAACAAATTAAAATCTGTCTAAAATAGTTGAATATGGTTAAAATAAAATTCTGCACACAACGTTTACTTTGATATTAAACGCAATGCTCAAAAAACATACAGGTAAAAGCACAAACCAGATAAACCAAAACAGATAAATCTGATAGAAATTATATCTGCAAACCATTCAGCTTTTGTTAAAAAACAACCAAAAAAGGCATCTCTGACTTTGTTGAAATTACCTTTTATTTATGTATTGTGTCAGACAACAGACCAATGTGTACATTACGGTCAGTGATATAATCAAACACGCAGTGTCCATAACGAAAAGCTACAAAGTAAACAAAATTTGCACTCACTAGTGGGCCTAAATGTAACATTGCATAATTAAAAAGGGGGGTTAATTCATGTTGTAGCATATAACCATTAATAATGTTGTGCTTTAAGTTTTGATAACTTCCTGCAACATGCTAGTTAGCTCAAGCTCCAGCCTTACACAGCTAGCTAGGCTAGGCTAACAGCAAGATTTTCCCGTTGTAAACAGAACCACGTCTTTGCCTTATATGTTAAACTACACGATTAGTCAAGAAACTATTTAAGTGTACAGTGTGGTCTGTGAGAAAATTAATCAAAAACTTCCCACTACCCAAAAAGAAAACCTACAAGCTCATCTGGGCTGATGATGCCGAATTGAACTCTCTTGATCGTGCGCAATGGGCATGCGCTGTCGCCGGAGGGCGGTCCGTGCATCCTGTCTATTCAAAGAGACGCGTCCTTCCTCGGCACGCCGCTTTGTGAGCAGGAACAGCCTTTAAATTGTCGCCACGACACTGGTCAGGCCGCCAACGGTGACCGGAAAGTCTCCGAAGGCGATATTCCAGGGACTTCTGTTGTCGTTTGCCTTTGGAGCCGATTTATTTGTATTTTGGTCCTAAATAAGCTCACCACCGACTGTTCCCCTCCCTTTTCCTGATCTACACTCTGGAGCGCTCTAAGCGCTTCTGAGCGTGGAAGCGCCCAACGCCTGGTTATATAGACTGAGTGGTACTACGGGGTTGCACACTCAAAAACGCAGGGACTGGCTCTTCAGAAGGTGGGACATGGAAGTCTGTAGTAATACCCTCATTGGCTAGTGAAGACAGCCACATGAATAATTGATTTTGTCACACGTACAGCCAATTATTGCGCACGTTATTTTTTTTCAGCAAATCAAAACTAAAGGCGGGCGTTGATTTAATCTGAACTCATTCCTATTGGGTGTATTAAAAGAGAATAGGCGGTGTGAAGGGTATTTTGCATACAAAGTATTAATATTTATTTCCAATCCCCTGGATTCGTGCGTTTTCTTATTAATATTTAGCGAGGGAAAGGCCACGACCAATAGCCACGAAGAAATGAGCCTTCTTAGAATAATTTCAACAAAGCCCGCCCTGTTTCCGATGTTTGCCGAAAGTGGCCGATGTGAATTTCTTCCCTCAGAGCAAAAATAAAAAAAATCTCTGTTCTGTGGTTCGTCTCGCTGTGGATCAGCCTGGGCTCTAAGAAAAGAGGCTCAGAGCTGAGGCCTGTTAAGGGCTTTGATGAAATAGGATAAAATAGTCGAAACACAATATATTTTTATCTCAAAACATTGTATAATGGATTATTTTTTGAGCTTTTTTAGAAATACGTCGACTTTTTGGATTTTCGCTTGCTGCATTTTTGGATCTCCGGGACATTATTGCAAGCCTCGGACTCGACTGCGAAGAATGGCCGACCAGGGGACAGGATTTTCCGCACGCCCTATAGGAAAGTTGGGAGAAGCCTTGTCTGTTCATTGAATGTTTGTTTTTCAACGGATTTTCATTATTTTTACACAAACGTCTTCTATGTGTGATTTATATTAGATCCTATTATTGAATCGTTGTCAGAGTTTTCGGATTTTTGTAAAAATGCGCAACATTGACGTAGGCCACGCTTCGAAAGCAGTCCGAAATCCGATGATTTTGGCGGTTCAGTAGCATTAGTTGGCGAAACATTTTACCGATTATCAAGTTTACAGAAACCTAACGTGTTGTCGTTGCGAGTCATTTACAATCCAGCTTGATGTATTTTTACACATTAACATTAAAATTCTCGTTTTAGCGATACAACTGATGATCGGGTTAGCTTAATGTAGGACTACCTTGACATGTACTTGTATTTTTCCCCGTCTGCTACTTGGCACCTCCATAAAATTAATTGTATATATCTATTGTTGCTTTCACACGATTATAAAGCGTATTAAGAAGTTCCCGTTAATCTCTCTCTATATATATATTAGAGGCTTGCCGTATATAAAGTAGCTTCATGTTTAGCCTGGTACCGAGCGTTACATGACAAAACGTTCAGTCAGCCGCTTAGCAGGTAATTACTAGCTAATTAAATCCCTACTTAAGTGAGCCTATTCTTGCTTTACTGTTTGGGCTGTCGTAGACTTATTACATACGGGTAAAACTTGCATTATAAGGTCGCCTTGAGGACTGTAATTAAGGCTATAATAGCTAGCATACTGGGTCTCCATTAGCGCTCAACATGGCGGCGTTTGGCGATACGCTTCTTGTTGTGAACGAGAAAAGATGGAGTCTGGAATATTCTTGTTGGCTAACTTGAGGAGCCGAATAGCTACGCATCTTCAAAAAAACCGCCGTTTTCAGTGATAAAATAAGGTACAGTCGAGTCAGTATTTTAACTTATTTGTTTTAACACGATAAGCTGTTATGTGTCGAAAGTGCTTGGAAGTTAGCTTGCTTGGATTTCAATAGTCTCGACTCTTCGTCCGTGTCGAAAGTTGAAGCCATTTTGCTAGATATCTACGTGCATTTTGGTCTGTTGTTGGAGAGATAAGCTTGCTACTCATTCAGTATGCTATTGTAAAGGTATGTATTTAACGTGGTAATCATTATGACAGCGTACTAGCCTTTTATTGAGTCTTTTGGCGATTTGAAGTTTGGGTGTTACGGTTTAAGTATTAATCTTGGCTTGACAAGGAAATACCTTTAGCCTGTTATACAATAGATTGTGCCCAAGGGAAGGGACCAAGTACCGTTTGGCCGGTGCTGTTGACTATCTAATGTCCACAAAGAAAACATTACACTGGTATTGTAAGCTCTTTTGAGACACATACGTCTCAATCGTCCCGTTAAAGCAGTAGTGGGATGTTTAGTATAAGATGCTACAGTACATTTTTGTTGACCCTTTGTGTATTGTGGCCTATTTCTGTAGAAAAGGAAGTGGAAGTAAATACTGGACACAGTGGTTGAACCACCACAGTGGTAGGATTGCATAATGTCAATCTGGTGTAGTGTTTATTACATGTAATGACTCTGTAACAGTGCCCAAAAGAACATTTTGTCACATTGTATAACAATTTCCACTGCCTTTTGTTTAAATAAAGAAACTGAAGCAACAAGATGGAGTATGGGTTGTTTTATCTTTTGAGAATTATTCCAATTGTCGTATCCATGTTTAAAAACAACAACAAAAAAAACAACTCATATGTTTTTGTTGGGGGAATGGGACATGTTTCTCACTTGTCACCAGTATGAAGATGCTTGTTTGCCATCATCTGTTTTTTTTTTGACAGGTCCATCAGAGGAAAACCTCACTAAGGCTCAGAAGCAGGGATAGATGCCACATCTTCAGGGTCCATATGGAGTCAGACCATGTTCTGTTTTGAGTTATTTTAGCCAAACTTGAGAAAGCTGCACGACTGCCAGGTTTGAAATACAGAGAAGAATATGACAGTAAAGCACATTGTTCACCATGTGCCATGCTATACCATGACTATACAAAGGATTCATTATTGACCAGTTGGCTCCCTCCTCTGGCTTATAGTGAGAATGATCAGCATTGCACATTTTCAATGCGGAAACGGGTCCCAGAAGGCTGTCAAACGTGCTCCCTCTACTGCTTCAAGGAGGTTAATGCATAGAGGACCGCTGGTGTCAGGTATGTAGTTAGACAGAAGTTCATCCATTTGTCTTTAGATGTAAAATGTGATCGCCGCAGGACTGTCTGCAAAGCATTCCCACAGGATCAGAGTCAGTCATCTCGCTTTTCTGATCATTTAGGAGTTAGCAAGTGGAATTCACATCGACTAGATTTGTACAGACTTGTGGAGTGCCTTTAAACCTAACACACTGTGCACATCAGTGTTGTGTCATTGTGTAAATACCTCGAAAAACATTAATCACTGACTTAGGATATGCTGTATGTATAGCAGTGCAGTCAAAATAATTCACACCAACATTAAACACTTTTTTTTTCTGGCTCTACATTTCAATAGTTAGCGCTTGGAATTGATGTTTAATTATTATTTTTAATTGCCAATTTAGGCTTTACACATAAACATGAAAGTATAATTACAGATGACATCAAATTTTCTTTTAACAGTGACTAACCACAACGGTGAAATTCTGATTACAAATTAATACAACAAAAATATTGTAGTACGCACACGTAGGTATAGATATGATGCTTTAAAATGAATTCTAGGCAACATATCTTTTATGCTTTTAGTTTGATTACATAAGTAAGTTATCTTGTTTCTTCCTCCAACACTGCATATTTAGTGTGCAATTCCAAAAAGCGGGAAAAGTGTTTTAAGGCCTTGAATAATTTCAGTTATAGCTTGTGCACTAAATTAATCTTCGGGTGTCTGATAAATACCGCACTATTGCCTGCTGTTCTGACTTTTGACACGTTAACATTTTGGGAAGCCAGACGTTTGCTGCATGATCTGTGTTAGTGGATGTCGTTCAGCTGGTTGACACAGGTTGGCTGATTTTAAGGTTGTTCAAACAGGATATGCCAGTTCAAATGAGGAAAAACTTCTTGTTGTTTGTTGCAGTTGACTAGTCGTTTGGTCTCGCTGGCGTTAATACAGAAGCATGTGTTTGCCTTCTGGAGGAATTAATTCCTATAAGGGGTGATGATTCATGTGTCTAGGGGGAGCTCTCGTCTGGTGATGTCAGAGCCTGACAGTGAATCGTGTTTTCAGGGGTTGGTGAGGAGATTGGAGGGCGGTGCTTTGTGGCACACTGAAAGTAGGCGAACAAGAAGGGAGGGAGAGACGTGCACAGATGCCGATCATGGTGGGAGGAGCGTGCTATTTTTTTTTTTTCTGAATCTGATTTGAAAAGGTTAAACTATATCTGCACGCCAGTTCATGCAGAAGAATAGCAGCCTAATTAAATGCATGCAGCTGTTGAGCCGTTGCACCTGAAGCACTATCCAACAAAATTAGGATACTTACTTTTTATACAAACAATTTAGTCTCTGTTTATGAGCATGGATGACTTTCTCCACAAACTAAAAAGCAAGGCAACATGCCCTGAAGGTGGTGTTGCTGTGACATCCCTGCTGAGCTTAAAACAAACTTTTTGCATGACTTCTTAAGTTGTTGAATCAGATGCTGGACAGTAATCATTGCATAAACAATCAATACCAATTTATAGTATCATCTTAACCTGCATCATAACCGAACAAACAACAGACTGGAAATTTGTTTTCATGTCTCGGTCTTGCATGTGAAATGAGAGTGAACCTGTCGGTATATGCACAAGAAAAGAAAATGGCTTTAGGCAGCTTTTCCCCTTAAGTTATGCACCAGGATGTTGTTTTGTAATAAAAATGGGTGACGCAGGGTCGTAGGCATGCTCTGAGAGCCCATTGGAACAGGCCGGCCCATTTCTGTCCGCAAGAGAATGTCCTGTTCTTTGGGTGTTTGTTTTGGCTGATATCAGTCCCTGCCAAGCGTCTTCATCTTTCTTTTATCCTTCCTTTTATCATCCACACTCTCTTTCAAGCCTTCCAGGTTCTCATCTACTGTCTTTTACATGCGATTCTTTTCAAGCGGCTCGTTTGCAGAGAAAAGTGGACGGTAGCAGGAATGTTAAGTCAGCTAGTATTTGACTCACAGGATACACCAGAGTTTTGAGGGAGATCTATGTTTTGTTAGGG